TTTTTTTTTTTTTGCAGAGTTGGGGATCAAATTCAGGGCCTTTCATATTACTAGGCAAATGCTCTACCACTGAGCTACCAACCAAGAGAACATTCACAATTTAAACATGAAAATCATAGACCAAGAAGGCAAGGCATCAGAGCATATTTTTATTACAGTTCAATGGGAATAATTCACCTTAAAATAATTTCTATTAGACTAGGATTCTTATAACAACATTAAACCCATGTACCAGGTGTTCATGTAAAATTCACGTAAATTACCCAGGACAATTTCTTTTCCATGCAATGGACAAAGAAAAATAAATTATTTCATAAAAAGGCAGAAAGTATAGCAAAGGTAAGAATTGTAAATTTCGGTGTCTTAAAGCCTGCCTGCTGCTCCAATAAAAATGATTGTTGGGCTGGGATTGTGGCTCAGTGGTAGAACATTCCTCTAGCACGTATAGGGCCCTGGGTTTGATCCTCAGCATCTCATAAAAATAAATAAATAAAATAAAGATGTTGTGTCCAACTACTTCTAAAAAATAAATATTAAAAAAAAATGATTGTCCTCTCTCCAAAAAACAAAACAAAACAAAACCCCAAACTTAGGTTTTATACTAAGCAAAACAGTAGTGTGCACTTAATAGACATTTTTTTCCCCCTAGGGATTGAACCCAGGGGTGCTTAACCACTGAGCTATATCCTCAGTCCTTTTTATTTTGTGATAGGGTCTTACTAAGTCGCTTAGGGCCTCTTTAAGCTGCTGAAACTGGCCTTGAACTTGTGATCCTGCTACCTCAGCTTCCCAAGCTGCTGGGATTACAGATGAGTGCCACCACTCCTGGCAAGTAGGCATTTTAAATAAATTATGAGTCTTGAAAATTTGACATAAAGAGGTGGCCACTGAAAATTGAGTTATTCATATTATTCTTTCCACTCAGAAATAACTTGCCTATGGATGAGACAAAAGCAAAAAAATCAGCAGCAGTGGAGCCTACCTCTTAGGATTATAGGTGAAAAGTTTTGTGAACACAACAGCCCTAGACACAGGAGTTACCACATTCAGAGAAGTTGAGTCGGCTGTTTGATTTGTGGAATAAAAGCTTCTTAGGTGAAAAGTAAGATTTGAACCTCCAGAAATTCTTAACAACAGTACTAGCAGGGAGTTCTGTCTTTTTGAAGGAATACACTTTGTTTACTTATATCATTTTTACTAATGGAAAATGTATAATGAGATTTTAACTTTAGTTTTATTCTACTATTAAAGATCTAGATGAAGATAAATAAAGGTAGACAAAATAGCAAATGCTAAAAATCTGAGGTGGGAACAAAATTAGATTTAAGCTAAGAAACAACAATCAGATATTCACTTGAGAAAGAACTTCTGTTTGCAGTTCCAGAAATACATTGAGGAAGGCAAAAAATGGAAATAATATGATCTTGTAAGAAGTGATCAGAATAATTTAGGCAAGAAATTAAGGTAGCTGTACAATGGAAACAGAGAAAGCATGGATTTAGAAAATATTTAAGAGGAAACAGCCATAGAGTTTGGTAAAGCAACAACAACAAAATCCATGAGTAGTAAGGC